CTTTCAGTGATGCAAAGCTGGGTGAATCACATGGGGAGACCCTGGCCCTGTTTCTAAGTTCTGATGGATGCCAGCTTCAAAAGAGAGAACAGGACAGGTACGAAAATTTTAAAGGAGACGGTGTAAATTAATTTTTTTCTTAGGATGGTCTGGCTTTTACCTTGAAAGGTCAAAAAAAGAAAGAAATATATCATTTGTTAGGCCTTGGACAGTCACTATATTTTGAAGTCCTTCCTAGTTGCACATCACTGAAATATTTAAAATATGAAGCCTCTAATTTAAAGTGATAAACTTTTATTAGTTTTTCTTAAAATATATAATTACAAGCATATTTTCAGTTCTTGGGTGTGCATGCTAAAGCTGTATTTCCAGAACCAATGGATTCTGCTTTCTATTTCCATGTATAAAAGATCTCGCAGTGCTGGGAAAACACTTTTTTAAAAAAATGAAATACAACAAATAAGGTATGCTGCCAAGTCCTAGGGGAGACGTTTCCCAGAGTCTTTGAATTTCCTCCTCTCCTCCTCCTTTACAAGATTTCTAAGACCAAGCCCTTTTCTGCAGTCTCTCAACAAGGTAAAAAAGAAAAATACCCCCTAGATATATTCCTTAGATTTTCTATTATGCTTCTCAAGCTCCCAGTAGCTTCTGAAGTAAACCTAAGATACGTTCTGGAGTTATTTTTATTATGTTTTAATTTTAGTCCCTCTTTTAGGTTTAAGATGAAACAGATGATCCTAACTGCTTCACTTGGGGACGCATTTCATGGTGCAACTTGTGAGTGACCTGAGCAAGGTCGCGTCTCAGGAAGAAGACTCGGGAAGGATGGGGAGCGGAGGCTCTCAGTCGGGAGGAACTCCAGTGTGTCCTACTTCAGCCTTCACAATGTGATACCACATGACAAAATCCTTAAGCCATATGTATGTGTGTCCTTCTGCCTTGGATCCCACCAATCATTGTTCAAATCACTAAGTGGTAAAGATCACCTTTGCTGTACCGGGAACCTCAGTGCAGAGCACAACAGGTAAGCATGATCATCTATGGCCGTGGTCCTGGGTTCTAGTCTTACCAACCTTCTCACACTGAGCCTTTAAACATACTAGTTCATCCCCCTACCTGTTATTTTCACAATGGCAAACACCCTTCTACCCTTATTTCAAAGGATCATCTCCTTCTAGATCTTTCCTTGAGGCCTCTCTCCACATACTTGTAGCATCTCATGCCAGTTTCTATTGGAATTTTATCAAATCCATTATAATTATTTGTCTATGGTGTCATTGGAATATGGAGGCTTCTACACTACATTTTGTCTTCTCCAGGGATTATTCTCCGCAAAGCTCTGGCCTAGGCACTGTTGTCATGTCATTGGCTGTCTTGAAACTCACTTAATGGACAGGCTGGCCTCAGTCTTCAGCGATTCCAATACCTCTGCCTACTGAATACTAGGATTGCGTGTGTTCCACCAACACCTGCTAATTCTAACTCTTCAAAATAATCAGTGTCACAGGAATTATCATTACCCTTTTGAAAGCTAAAAACAAAACAAAACAAAATCCATGTCCTATGAGAGGGAGAAGGGAGAGACAGACAGACAGACAGAGAAGGGGGTGGTTTATGCATGTCATAGTACCCATGTTTGACAGGTTTTTTTCCTCCCACTATGTGGGTCTCCCAGAGACTGAAGCCAGGCCAAAGTGCTGGATGGTGAGTGCGTTTATTCTTTGAGTGTCTTGTTGGCCCATTACCTCTGTTTCACACAGAGGAACTAGGCAATTGTTTCAAGGATACCTAGTAGTAAACATCATTTCATTCAGGCCGTGTAACTCGGTCTCAGTGCGAAGTCTAAGAGAAACAATTCACAAATGTAAACAAATAATCATCTGATCTTTCCCCCTAGTATTCTTAATCTTAAATTTATTTTACATTCATCCTTGAGCAAGGGTGTGTTCGTTTGTTCAGGAAAAATGCAGCCCCAACTAGGGAAAGAGAACTAACAGGGGCCCCAGTGGAAGGCCTGGGGTTTTGCCTGGCTCTGCAGCTCCCAGGTTTCCACGTGTCGATCTCTTCTTGTCATTGTTTTCAGAGGTGATATTTGCTTGTATGGTGACACCAGAGTGCTATGGGACAGACGTGCATTAATATGAAAAATAAGCCTTTTATTCTCTATAAGCTGATGAAACTCAAGACAGTGTCCCTGCTGGAATGATTTTAAAAGCAAATTGTGTTGTTTCTATTTTATTTTATTTTCTAGAAATTGGGAACACAGATCACTAGGGATCAGATTTATTCTCTTTTCCTGTAGTTAAATCCAGATACCACATCCCCATGTCACTTATTTTGCCTTTTAAATAACTTTTAACCCTTTACTTTTACACTTTTACCCCCTTTTCTCTCCTTATAATAGCTTTTGCTCAAGGTAAATATTTGGAAAATTCAAAGTTATTTAAAAACATATAGCTGCATATAGATATCATCTCCTGCTTACAAAGTCTTCTAAAACACTGCTTTTTAATGGCTATCTAACATTTCATTAGAATAAGATGTATTTATACACTTGGCTTATACAGTCCTAGTACAACACTTTACTGGTACTGTCTGTTATTTAAGTAATAGTATTTCAGACAGCCTCTCCTGTGTGTGTGTGTGTGTGTGTGTGTGTGTGTGTGTGTGTGTGTGTGTGTGTGGAGGGGGGTGATACGGGGCCTATTACAGGGGTTCCTGTTAGAATACGTGTTTCTGAGAAGGGGCCATCACCACTGTGGTCTACAGAAACTTCCTAAAAATGTTGACGTGTCTGGCCTTCTCTGGCTTGAGTAAGCAGCTGCGTTCTACCTCATAAAAACAAGCTGACTGAAAACTGTCCTATTGGACAGCTTTCCTTAACCCCAGGTCAGTCTGGGTGACGGGCAGTTTCTGGAGGTCCCTGTGGTCCATCCCGCCCACCCTCACTCTCTCAAGCCACCCACCCTTGCTTGCCCCATGCCTGATACACAGCCGGGGATGCATCTTTACACAGACATCCAGGGTTGATATCCCACTTACTGAGAACCTCCTCTTACCTCTTCCTCCCAGCCCTCCTCCAACCACGCCACTCCTTCCGGGGACTATCACCCCCTCAGAGCAGCCTTCCCTCTTCTTGCCTGCGTCTCCTCCTTTCTGCCTCTCTGCTGTCCCCCTGGTTGTTTTCGTACCACAGTGTCAAAAGCATCCCCACCGTTCCCAAAAGCTTGCCTCTGTAAAGGTCCACACACACACACACACACACACACACACACACACACACACACACACACACACACACACACACACACTGCCCAAGTCCCGCCAGCAGGGAGCAGAGGGTACAAGTGAGAGCCTGCATCTAAGCCCGAAAGGGCAGAGATTCAAACTCCAGCTCTGAGACCTGTGGCTGTGCGCCCTTAGGCAATGTGGTTAACCTCTCAGGGGCCTCTTTTCTGCATGAAGAGACACAGGTAGAAGTCTTCAGTGTTTGTTGTGATGTTCATCGAGGAACACAACACAAATGCAGAACAGCTGTGAGAGGAGACTGAATGAGGTCGAGGGCTTTGCTCTTGTGCTCTTGTCCTGCCGCGGTGTTGGCCACGGTAACCTAGGGTCCTCACGCATCCTGGGCAAGTACTCTACTCGTAGGCTATATACCTCGGCCCCTCTTTTTGTTAAACAAAAGAAGCACAACTCCGGTTTTAGTTGTGCCCTTTCTCATCGTTCTTGCCCTGCTTCCACAGTGAAAGCCCTGACCAACGAACTCGCCCCACCCACCCCCGAGGTCTCCTTCCTCTGCCTGGCCAAGTCTGCTGGCAACACTCCGGTCCTTGGTATTGGCTGCAGCTTGAACAGCTCATCACGTCACTTCCTAAAACATGTGCTCACGTGCCAAGCTGCTTCTCTCCCCTTCTTCTAGTATTTCCTGAAATGTGACCTCCTCCCTGGAGGTCCTGTTTCCACTCAGTCCTGTTTCCAACAGATAAAGGGTGCCCTCTGAGCTTCTCGGGGGGCTGCAGAGCCTCAGCGTCGTGGGGCTGCTTTGGGTCCCCAGCTCTGCCTGTGTTGAAGAGGCTTGGTCTCAAAGGGCAAAAGGGTTGCTAGAGCTTGCTCTGAGCACAATGCTCATGCCAGGAATAGAAACTACGAGCTTTTCTGTTTCCCTCCATGCTACAATATGTTCTGATCCTGAGTCTACTATGTGATGGATTTCTGGACACCCTTTCACAGCATGGGAAACTATAAGAAGACAACAAATTAATAAAGTTGCTTTTAACATTGTAAGTCCAAAGGATACCTTTACGACAGTAGTATTTTGTATTAAAGGGCGCTTCATTTGGCGTTTGGTGGCATATGTCTCACACTCTATTTTGTAAATCTAAAACGGATAGTCAAAACATGCCAATACTCATTTTTAAAATATTGCTGTATTCTGTGAGTGCACCATTATGGAAAACTTACACTCAGAGCAAAAAGATTTGTAGCAAAGCATATGACCTTCTTCGCACTACAATGACCATCCCCTAATTAGGCAATGCATCTGATAGTCATTAACAGGAATGAGATAATGAATCACTTTCTCTCTTCTTTGTTAATTTGCTGTAACCAAGCGGCTAATGGATGTCAGAGCTGAGTGATTGCACTGATTATAGTGATTTATAGTTGCAACAAAACAATTTAAAACCATTCTGATTATTCATGTTAAAGATGCTTTATGTTTTGTTTACTAAATGTTTTATGCCTCCCCCTTTCTCCCACCCCTAGGATCCTGTCCCTCCCTTCTGCTCTGCTACTTTGCACAAAAAGACCTCTTCCCAGAAAACTTGAAAGTTGTCGTCTTTTGTTTTGTTTCCAGATATATATATGGAGAGAGAGGGAGATACAAAGTTTACCCACTAGAAACGAAGAGCCTTAGGGGTGGAAGGGAAACTTCAGTGGTGCCTAGTTCAAAAGAAGGCAGGAATGAGAGGAAATAAGGCAAACTTCAAGCCACTTACCTTGGGGCTGCCCGTCCCCTCCTCGTCCTCCACAGACACATCAGTAGCCAGTATCTCTGCTTTGATGGTGTCCAGAGCTCTGAGAATCCAGCTGTGTTGCCGTTTGATTTGCCTCTGCAGCTCCTTCCATTGACTTGCAATCATCTTCAGCATGTCCTTCAGTCCTTCTCCAAAGGAAAGCACAAGCTGTGGGCCCGACTGCATATCTACCTGCTACCGTCTGCTACACAGAAAGCTAGGTGGCTGCTTCAAACCACATGCGCGCTTTTCAACGACCTTACCATTACCCGGCCATTTGTCACTCAGGACTGAGACTGACAACTCTAAGATAGGACAACACAGAAAAATGGGACAGGCACATGCAGAAAGGGAGGCAGACTCTGGTTTGGTGAGAACAATGCATGTGGGACAGATTATGATGTATAGATGTCACTAACACTATAGCTTCACACCTCCAAACATAAGGCCCCCGGGTTTATCTGTGTGGAGACTTTATAATGATCAACAAAGACATTTGGAAATAGATACTGGTAATTCAATGGGAAATACGGTATATGGGCCAGAATCAAGACAGCAGTCTTTGACATTAACACATCTGCTTAACGCTGTTTTTCTGTTTACAGAATAAGGGGAAAAGCAAACCCAACCAAGCAAGCTTTTATCCACACTCCTTGTGGTCTTTGGCTATCAGGATAAGTGGTACCACACAACAAAACAGTTCTTTTTAATTATAGTACATTCTTCATAAGTGCATCGATGTTGGGCTAAGAACTGGTTGAAAGCCTAAGTTTCTGCTAATGCAAAAACCTACAGAGAATATGCCAAACGCCCACATGTGTGAACCGGCATAGAAGTAATCAGATGTCTATGGACAGCCTGCCTGGTATCCATAATGATGTCTATGTACACCCTTGTGCATATGCATTGTGTCTATAAGAACAGCTCTCATTCATTATCTTAATGTTACTTCCAGAGCTCCTACATCAAAAAGCATGTCAACGTGAAGTTTTCGGGAATATGATTTCGATCGGTACTCAGGCGAATGGCAAGCCCCAAATAAAATGAACAGACCGTTGGAGGCACTATTTCATCTTATACGTATCACAGCATTGTATGCAGTATATGAAACATTTATAAATCTTGAAGGTCAATCTGATAATGTAAATATTAATAATACATAAGGAAGTGAATATATGCAGTAATTTACAGCAATGCTTCTTCATTCTTAATAGTCTGGAGACATAAAGACCCGCAATATTTCAGGAGGATTTACCTGCTTTGTGCGATGCAATGAGCTCCAGGAGTTGGTGTCCTTCCTCCTCCACGGCTTCCTTGAGAGCACAGTGACTGTCCACGTTCAACTTAAAACTCTGCAAAAACAAAAAAAGGCACAAGGAAGGCCATCAGGCTCCAGCGAGGCGATACACACAAAACATGAGTGCAGAATTACCTGCTACTTTTTATCAAGAACCACGCAGTCCACCAGACAGACTAATTTGCAATACTAAAAGCTATTGATATTTGGGGGTCTATGCTCTAACCATTTCCGTTAGATTAGCAGAGCGCATCTGTTTGGAAGCAGCTAAACAATTGTAGAAATTCATTAGGCTTCTATGAAAAGTCATATCCCCTGGGTTTTATGGCGAGTAGTAGTGTTCAGTAAGGTACAATGAATTCCCACCTGCACATGCGAGCTTTTCTTAAGTATTTATGAAACCGCGGAGGTTGCCAGCAGAAAAACACAGTAGCCTTGTGTGCCCGCATACGTATCCACTGATACAGCGTGTCTTCATTCATCCCTGTTCCTCCACTGTACACGAGCCACAGGATGGAGATGGTGCCATTTAGGGGTGGAACTGGGGATTCTGGTGCTTTCTGGGGCTTTGTCTTCAAATGCTCATTTCTTAAGATGTGATGTTGTCTCATTGATAAACACACCAAGTACACCACACATGTTTCCCCTCATGACAGTCATCAACTTCTCTCATGGTCCACCTCAAATTCAGTCACAGCTTCTGGGACACCTCCTCTGACACACTCCGCAGTGGTTATCTCTCCTGTCTTTTTTCCCCTTACATAATTCTACCGTAGAATTTATCGCGGATCTGCTGCTGTGTTTCCATCTTTAGTTACCAAATTATATGCAATTTAAATACTTGCAAGTACTCATGTCACACACAAATGGTTCACTAGCTTGTGGGCATAGTCAACGTTTGCTGAGTGTGATCAGTAATACTCTCTAACTGGCTGTGGGGGGTGCTTCTGTTTAAATATTTCAGGAAATTCAAATATTTGGTTTTCTTGATGGTTTTCCAAAAAACTTTTCAGCTCTGAAATGTTATAAGCCATTCCAACCACAGGAGTGCAGGGGAGGGAAATCACGGTACCCATCAGCAACAGAATCATTCACTAATCTTTGGGGTAAGAACTCATTCACCAGCTTGACCAATTGGAAACACAGCACACTAAAATTTGGCTTTTCATAGTAAGGTTCCAAAGTATACACAGTGTTATCGTTTGTTAAACATCATGGGACAATACAGTGAAAACACTGTACTGCACTTGATATCAAGCATAAATGACACAGGTTAGGATAGCACCACACCAGATTTAATTTGAATTGAAGAAGTTGGGTAATCATAAATTGTGAGACTGGATCTTCATTTAATGATTCATGTAGTGTGTGTGGTCTACAATGCCAATAGAGACTTGGGGACCAAAAAGCGTGGATTCTGGCCTTAACAGGCATCTGAGCATGGGGAGTATAGCGTGGCTTATTCTGGATGCTCAGTGGTGAGTGTGAGCCATTCTTTTCTTCCTGGAGAAGGGGGTCTTTTTAAAGGACCAAAGACAGAGACAAAACGAAAAGAAAACCTGAAAGTGAGAGAAATATGAGAGGCTGGCAATAAGGAATTGAACTACAGCAATTCAAAATGGTGGATTACATCATCCAACCTTCTTTCATAGGACACGGTAACATTTCAGGTGAACATTCGAGAAAGCGACAGTATCTGACTCCCCCACACACTCCTCAGCATTTCTTACATCGTCCCTTCTGCTGCAGGTATGCAGAGGAATAAAATGAGATATGCAATGTTCAGGAATCCTGATGTTTCCCTCCTAAAGATAACTGTTTAAAAATGCTCTTAGATGTACGTATTCCATGTGTAGGGGTGTTTTTGCCTGCGTGTATGTTTGTGCGCCACGTGCATGCAGTGCCTGTGGAGGCCAGAAGAGGGCATCGGGTCCCCTGGAAATTAAATTATAGATGATGGTGAGTCAGAACCTGCGTCTTCTGCAGGAGCAGTGAAGGATGTTGTCTGCTGAGCCACCGCTGAAGCCTCCTTAGTACTTCTGGTCAGTTCAGTGAAGGCAGTACCTATGGGTTCTTCAATGCTTACTACCTTATAGTGAAGCATGGCATTCTCTCTTTTTGTCCCTGCTTTGGGACTCCTCCACACTGAAGCAACGCCAGCCACTCACACTAGAGTACATGAGTTTCAGAAAAGGGAGCGAGAAAAAGAGAAACATCTGAGACGAAGTCAGAAGCACCAAACTTCAGGGAGAAACCTGTTGTCGAAATTCTGCATCAGTATAAACTCAGCCTGGCGCTGTGTCTTTGACTCACTGGTTACCTGTAGCAAATGGCTGGGGATTACCGGCTTCCAAACAGACACACCAGGCCTTTGCCTCGGTGCCAGAGAGAGTGGAGGGACCCGTGAGCAGGCTGGCAATTTGACCTCATTGAAACGGTGACAGAGTGCAGGGCCGATGCTACTGGGAATGGCTGCACTTCAGGATGATGTGGAAACATTTGATACGGAAATTGGAGAAGATGAGGAGTTCATTATTAGGAATGAGATAATCTGATAAGGTCGATGTTGTATAAAAGAACCATTTAATATAACTATTACCCAAACGGTACATTATTGCTTGGTTTCAGGTGCGCCCATTAACAATTAATAATATCAAGCAAGGAATTCGCAGCAGACCCCTGAGAAGACAGCCCAGTGGGCACATTAACCAAATTGTCAGTGAGACTCCAGGCTGGGAACGGATGCTTTTGTGGGCCCATCCTCATGTCTCCCCCACTTCTCCATAAAGAGGGATTTTATTTCTTTTGTGAGTTTGTTCTTCTCTTTAACCTGATACCTGGACATGTCTCCATCCTTACGCTATTAGCATATTTTCTCCAGGCTGCCTGTGGTGTTTCCAGTCCTGCTCCCTGACAGTGAAAAGAACTCTCTGGAGACTGAACTTGTGGCCAAAGCATTGGCATGGGTGTGCTCCATGATCCTGTGTCACTGGTTATGTGAATTGTCACAGATACATATGGCCTGGATCCAAGGGAACACTGATGTCTTTTCAGTTCCTTAAAGCGGGATGTAAGTGAGTGACAAGAAGAGATCAGCTAGGAGGAAGGAGAAACTCCGTGAGGGGCTGAGAGAGGGCTCTGTGGGAGAAGGCACTTGCCAGCAAGCCTGATGCCTTCAGTTCCATCCCTAGGACCCACGCGGTAGGAGAAAACTGACTCGTGCAAGCTTTCTTCTGGCTTTCACACTCATATACACACAAGCGGAAACTAGTTAGTTATAAATAAATAAAGCGTCTGGACGGGCAAGATGTCTAAGAGGCTTAAGGTGCCTACCACCAAAACGGATAACCCGACTTTGATCTCTAGTATAAGAACAGAACCTGCTCCACAAAAACGTTGTCTGACCCCCACCTTGGTATGTATACCACACACACACACACACACACACACACACACACACACACACACACCTACACAAAATACATAAATGAAAATGTCATTTTTTCAAAACGTTTTTTAAAAAGAAGATCCAATGACTGGATTATCAAAATTATTATAATGTGTTAAAAATGGGCAGTGATCAGCTTGCATAGATCTGAATGTGTTGGAAATTCAGGAAATTCAGGTATTCCCGTGACTACGGCCAAGCCATGATCAGATGTGAGGAAGCCGACCATGCACACATGCATATGGGAGTAAACAAAGGAAATCACAGTGGAGCATGGAAATGATCACATCTAAGGGATATCCTAGGACTGGAGATGTGGGAATGACCACTTCAAAGGCTTAACTGTCCAAAGTGGTTCCATCTTCCTGGAATCATAAACAGACACTCAGCCACCCTGTGTGTCCTGTATGTGTGTCCCAGGCCCTCTGAGGACTGTGGGTCTTGGGATGTTTGTGAAGCATAACACCTGTCCAAAAGACCTACATATTCTTTCTTGAGTGAATTTTACTTTTTCCCCCTAAGGCATAGGTTTACGGAATGGATATATGTATTGAGCAGTTCCTACCAGATATATATATATATATATATATATATATGTGTGTGTGTGTGTGTGTGTGTGTGTGTGTGTGTGTGTGTATTAGCAGTGCACACCACCAGTCTTCAGGCAGCTTATAGTCTAGTCCACTGGATCAGAGAGATAACCACAAGTGTATTTCTGTGACTTAGCATAGAATACATGTGCAATTGGGATTTTATATGTGATACAAAGCAGTGGAGCAATTTGCCTCAAGCGACACTGAGTAACAGCAGCCGTGTCCAATGAGATTCAAGTTTGTTTGTTTAAATTAAGGCATACTACACCCGCCAAGACAGGCCGGTGCTGGATAGGGACTATGGGAGCCCATGAGATCCAGACTCGCATACAGGTCTGGATATGCCCTTCGGAGAAGCAGAAGCTGGGGCCCTGGGTGCTCCATGTGGCTGGGGCAGGCTGCAGGCAGGGGAGAGAGAACGCTAGCTACAAAGGACCTGACCCCAAGAAGAGCCACGAAGAACACGGCAGTGGGGCCAGCTACTGAGGCAGACCTATGAGCTGAGGCAGACCTATGAGCCAGCTCGCTGGCTGCTACATGCAGACTTGACTTCTCAAAGGACACACTGGAGACAAGCGGGCCATTTGGGGAGGCTGCCATGGTGATACAGGCCAGATGTCTCTGTGTGCTCGAGCTCTTATTTTTTTAATTAGAAAAAGGTATGATTTTTCTTCCAAATGAAAAGAAGAAAGAAAATTGGAGCAAATCTTCCGTCTTTTCAAGTCGCTCTCCATGCGTGAGAGCAGCATGTGCCAGAATTTAGTTCTTTGGCTGCTCTGATGATAAATACCAGAGGTTATTAGTCGGGAGTCTCCGAATGTGAAAGGCACGTTGAACTGACGAACTCTTGCTCCCACTGTCACTTGAAGAGATGGTGGGTATGCTGATGAGTAAGACACCGGTGACACTTCTTCACACAAAGATTTTCACTCCTTCGGAGAAGGGGAACACGCCTCTTCACAAGGGCAGGGAAAATATGTGTTTAGTTAGAAAAGCCACAGCTTGAAGTCACTT